TGACAGACCCTTGAAAGCCATTGGTTTTCTGGCTTTACCCTCTCTTGTCAGTGACTGAGCTAGCAGCAGGGAACAGACAGCAAAGATGAGGATGGAGGCTTCTCCTCATAGGGATTTCCAGCCACAGCAGATCTTCTCTGGTCCACAAGAGAGTCGAGAAACCGAAGCTCTTTTGATTCAAAATCTCTAAAATCAGTTGATTTGATTGACTCACCCAAGTAAGAAGAGCTAAGACAGAGATACAGACTTCCAAACCAGAGCCCCAGCCTGCCACAGTCAGCTGACAGAATGTCTTGCTCAACCTTGATGACTGTTGTCCCTGAGTCCAACCTCCCTTGCTGGACTCATCCTGCCTCCTGTAGAGTAGGACTAAGGGTATACCCCCCACCATCCTTTCTCTCTCTCTCTCTCTCTCTCTCTCTCTCTCTTTTAGAACTTATACATGAATTAGAGCAGAAGCCCCATCTCCAGGGAGTTCCAGCAGACTAGGCTCAGCCATTCATCCCAGAAAGCCAACTACAGAGGCAAATTGGTGATAAAGGCAAGAAAAGAGCTTTATTTATGGTACAATCATGCTGGGAAGTACAGAGTTCTGAAGACCTAAATGCTATCTTCAAAGTGTTTACAGAAGTCTCAGTGTTATACAGGAAAAAGAAACAGAGGAAGAACTGGGAGTTTCCACAGTGGCAGTCTAGATCTCTTTGGTCTAGCTGTGATCTAGTTACTATTATCTCAGGACATCATTTCAGGATCTGTCACTCAGGACTTTGTCGGTGACACTGTAGGAGTTTACAATATGGACATAATCTTGACTGTGACTTTTACTTAAACTTGTAACCAAAATGTTACTGTTTATAATACAAACAAGCTCACTGAGCAATGTGCTTTTGTGACCTGGCCATAGGATCTTAATCCCTCAGGACCCCACTTTGCCCTCTACCCAAGATAGTGAATAAATGTGGTATGCTTGACTGACATACAAACTGCTGAATGCAGCACAGTTATCTCATTGAAAGCAGTGAGAAAACTTGAGAAGTCTGTCCAAAATTGTATGTGAGATGTTTCTAGGCCTAGGGATCAAAGGCAAGATTCTCTGATAAAGGTGGATCCTAGCTTCCAGCTCCTCAGTTTGTTCTGGAGATGTTGCCTGGCTTGAAAGCACAGCTGGCTTGAAAGCACAGTTCTGAGAGACATCTGAAAGAATGGGTGCTTGGCGTTTGAGTGCACTCTTGGCCCTAAAATTAATGCTAAGTATCAGGCTATTTCTTTATTCGTGTATAACCATAATGTGGCTTAGAAACACCAAATGCCACAAAAGTCTATATTGCATAGGTAGTTGTTTTAGTGCTCTGTCTTAGGATGTTCATCAGTCAGGCCTTTTATTATAAGTATCTAAGGTGACTGTGTGAAAGGCACCTTCGTGACCATAGCTACACCATGTTGAAGTCCAGGCTGACTCTAACATCTGAAACTGAAAGGCAGTTGGCCCAGGGTATGAGAACACGTCAGCAAGGTTCCTGGTTGCCTTAACAGGTCAGCATGTCTGAGTGCACCTGCAACTGCAGATTTATGGCTTCTGTAGGTTATGCTTAGCTTGCTTCTGCAAAATAGTAATTGTTTTACAGAATAGAATTTTTTTTTGTCTTTTTGAGACAGGGTTTATCTTCCAGCAAGTCTCTATCTTCTAAAAGTTCTATAAACTTCCCCAACAGCCACCAACTGAGAACCAAATGTTCACACACTTGAGCCTATGGGGACATTTCTCATACCACAGTTGTGTTTTCTGAATATGTACTTATTAAAATAAATGTTAACTATATATTTGATTTTTTTTTTGGTCTTTTTGAGACAGGGTCTCCCTGTAGCTCCAGCTGTCCTGGAACTCACTATGTAGACCAGGCTGGCCTTGAACTCAGAGATCCGCCTGCCTCTGCCTCCCAAGTGCTGGGATTAAAGGTGTGCGCCACCACGCCCGGCTTATATTTGATTTTTTAAAAAAATATTTTATTTATTATTTTTACGTCCATGTGTTGTATTGCTTGCATGTAGGTAAGTGCACCTGCGTTGTACAATGCCTGCGGAGGACAGAAGAGGCTGTCGGATCCCCTGGAACTGGAGTTACGGGCAGTTGTTAGCTCCCATGTGGGTTCTGGGATTTGAACCTGGGTCTTCTGCAAGAACAGCCAGTGTTCTTAACCATTGAGCCATCTCTCCAGCCCCTTAATTTTTTTTTTTTTTTTTGGTCTTTTTAAGACAGGATCTCCCTGTAGCCCCAACTGGCCTGGAACTCACTAGGTAGACCAGGCTGGCCTTGAACTCAGAGATCCGCCTGCCTCTGCCTCCCGAGTGCTGGGATTAAAGGCATGTGCTACCACACCCAGCTTTTTGTAAATAAAATAATGAAAAAATTTAATTAAAATTTTTTAAAAATATTTTATTATTTTTTATTTTATGTGTATGAGTGTATTGCCTGCATGTATGTGGGTGCACCAGTGTTATGCAATGCCACGGAGGTCAGAAGAGGGCTTTGGATTCATCTGGAACTGGAGTTAAGGACAGTTCATAGCCGCCATGTGGGTGCTGGGAAACAAACCCAGGTCCTCTGTAAGAGCAGTCAGTGCTCTTAACCACTGAGCCATCTCTCCAGCCTTAAAATTTATAATTTTAAGATAATAGGTGGCCGGGCGTGGTGGTGCACACCTTTAGTCCCAGTACTCACGAAGCAGAGGCAGGTGGATCTCTGTGAGTTCAAGGCCAGCCTGGTCTACCTAGTGAGTTCCAGGCCAGTTGGGGCTACAGGGAGATCCTGTCTTAAAAAGACCAAAAAAAAAAAAAAAATATTGATAGGTATAATATATGTTACGTCTTTGGAGCCCTCCATATTTTTCAACAATATAAAATCCTGAGACCAAAAGTTTTGATAATCACACTGATCTTCAATATCTTTTTTTTTCTTTTTTGGTCTTTTTGAGATAGGGTCTCCGTGTAGTTACAGCTGGCCTGGATTCACGATGGAGACCAGGCTGGCCTTGAACTCACAGAGATCCACCTGCCTCTGCCTCCCAAGTGCTAGGATTAAAGGCGTGTACCACCACGCCTGACTCAACATCATTTTTAATGATGGAATTAGCCCACTAATCTAGTGTATCATAATTTCTTTGGTAAATAATGCTGAGAATAAGATCTTTTAAATTGGGGCTGTAGAGATGGCTCAGTGGTTAAGACACTGACTGCTCCTGCAGAGGATCCAGGTTTGGCTTCCAGCACCCACATGGCGGCTCACAACTGTCTGTAATTCCAGTTCCAGAGGATCTGACACCTCTTCTGATTTCTGTGGGCACCAGGTACACATGTGGTACATATATATATATATACACACACACACACACACACACACACACATATGCAGGTAAAACACTCATACACATAAAATAAATATTTTCTTAAAAATTAAATTTTTACAGATCTTATTTTCTTAAGATAATTTTCAGGGATGATTTATTTTTATTTAGTGTTTGTTATGTGTATGTACATGTGTGTACCTGTGTGCATGCCCATCTGTGAGGCCATGGAGGCTAGAAATTGACATAGGGTGTCTTTCTCTATCACTATTTTTTAAATATTTAATTATTTTGTGTTTGTGTGTGTATTTGTGTACACTTGTGCTATAACACTTACGTGGCAGTCAGAGACAATTTCAGGAGTCGGTTCTCTTCTACTGTGTAGGGGACTGAATTCATGTCATCAGTCTTGGCAGCAAGCACCCTCATTAGCTGAGCCATCTGGCTGAGGTTGTTATTTTAAAGACTCACTGAACCTGGAGCTCACTGATTGTGCTAGGCCAAAAGAGATCCAGAAATCCTCCTGTCTCTGCCCCCTCCCAGTGCTGTGGTCATAGATATGGGCTGCTGTGTCTGGCTTTTACACAGATGCTGGAGATCCAAACTTAGATCCTCATGCTTGCGCAACAGATGCTTTACTGATTGAGCCATCTCTTCAGTCCTTGAATTTTTTTAAAAGCCTATACTTACTTTAGGAAAATGAAGTAACCAACAATGTGACCCCACCTCTCAATCACATTTCTATTCAGTTTCCTTCCAGTAAACCAAGGGGAGTAGAAACCATTAAAGACTCTTCCTAGGTTAAGGATTTGATACTGGGCCAATGTTCCCAAGAATAGAGGGAGAGAGTTTTATGGGTCATCTAGTCCTGTGGACTCCAACTTAATGCTTGGACTCTTGCTGGAAAAGCTAATTCCTAGGGTTGCTGGAAAGCACTAAGTGCAATTGAAGATCGCCTTTAGGTAGTATTAGTAGGATGAGCCCAGTCTTCCTAAAATACAAGGCACATTGAGTGCCCAAGCAGGCACTATTCAGACCTCCTTTTCCAGCCTCAGGTTGCTCTCCTTCCCAACCTTTTGAGTCCGGATTCACTGCTGCCCGCTGTCCATTTCACCGCAAGGGCAGAACCTGGCACTCAGAGGGTTCCATAAATTTTGATGAATTGTTGACTGAAGTATAGAAGGTTCTACTCTGAGGGGTCCTTAAACAATGGGCCCAAGATAGCTCCCAGAAACATGCAGTTTAAATGAACTCAGTCCTTTAACTGTCCTGTTCCTCAGTCTTGCATACAGTAAGAGAGTCAAAACAGTTCCCTCTCAGGGTTGCTACACCGCAGGGAATATCCTGAGCTCAGTAAGGGCATCTGTGCTTGTCAACACAGGAGACCCAGAGAGCGCGGGTCAGACAGGAAATCTGCTGGAACCTGACGTAGAACCTCCAATAGCAGCAGGAAGGGCCTGAAACAGCGCAGCTGAGTTTCCTGGGCGAGGGTCCAGCTCCGCCGCGGTAAAGGCCAAGTGCTCACACCTGGGGAGGGCGTGGCATAAAAGGGCGTGGTTTTGAGGGGCACTGGGTGTGACCGGGCCCGGCTCCCAATGGGAGTGGTCTTCGGCTGGTGTGGGCGGGGCCTTGGTGTGGGGGCCCGGCCGAGCGTCCTGGGGCTGAGTCGTCTCCCCGCGGCCGGAGTTGGAGGCAGCCGGATCCAGGCTGGAGCGGAGCCGACAGTGGCTGCAAGGCGGCGAGCGGGCCTGTCTTTTCTCGGTGCCGAGACTCGTGGGTTCTGCGTGGAGGGCACGGAGGAGGCGCGGCCTGCCTTGCTCGCACAGCTGCCGCCGCGTGCCCCGAGCTCGGCGGGCCGCCGGGGACTGGAGGCCGTGAGGCGCCGCGGCCTGGGTGAGCGGAGCGGCGGGGATCGGAGGAGCGGCCTCCGAGTGGGGCGGGGCGGGACGGACGGTGTCGAATCGGGCCGCCGAGGCCCAGGCCGCGGCGCGCTCACCGGGGAAGCCTGGGCGGGGTACTCCGAGGCCGAAGCGGGTGCGGGGCCGGGCAGCATCACGCGGAGCGGCGGCGGGGTCCTTCGCGGGAGGGTGGGCGCTGCCTCATCCTCCGCACCCGACCACTGGGCTCAGAGTCCGGACCCGCCTCAGCCCCGGAGCCATAGACAAAGGGGCCGCTGCCGCCCACTTTGCCTTCCCCGCCTCTCTGGGGACCCCAGGTCACCTGTCCATGGTGTGTGGAAGCGTCTTCCTCCTTTTAAGAAGCTCCTTAAATAACTGGTACTGATTTGTTCTTTGCACCGGTTGCTTGGATGGTTTGAAGGAGTGTTCTTTTTTGTTTGTCCTCAGAAGGTTTTGAGAGTAAGATGAATGAGTCAAACACTTCAGAAGATAATTATAAAAGATGGGAGGGGGAGGTATGTCCTCTGCAGTTTTAGTGGTGTAGAGGAAAAGTAGTTTTGAAATGCCTTTTTTGACCTCCAAAGATATGCCTTGGTGGCTCTCAGTACCTGCTTGCTGTGCAGGGTTAAATGAATGAGAAAATTGGATTACTAACGGTCTTTTGGGGGATGTTTTGTAGGCTTGGTTAACATCGGCATAGCCGTGACTTTGTTTCAAAACTCGAGTCATACACTATACAAACCCCTTTATTATAGTCATCTTTTTAATAACTTTTCCTTAATTTTATCTTATAATACGTAAAACTGTAATCTTCAGGGCCCAGTAATTCACCTTTTGCCCATTTTACATCAGTATTTTGTTCCCTTTAAGATTTTTTGTTTGTTTGTTTTTCTTTGAGACAAGATCTCCCTGTAGCCCCAGCTGTCCTGGAACTCACTATGTAGACCAGGCTGGCCTTGAACTCACAAAGATCTGCCTGCCTCTGCCTCCCAAGTGCTAGGATTAAAGGCATGCGCCACCATGCCCAGCTCAAGATTTATTTTTTATTATTTTTTAAAGTTCTGTGTGTGTGTGTACGTGTGTACACGTTTGCCTGGGGATGCCAGTGGAGGCCAGAAGAGGGCATTGAATTCCCTGGAGCCACCAGACATGGGTTCTGGAAACCCAACTCCAGGTCTCTGCAAGAACAGCAAGTATGCTTAATCCTGAGCCATCTCTCCAGTCCTCTTATTTTTATTTATTTTTTGTTTATTTATTTATTTTGGAGGCAAAGTTGGTTTGGCTCTAACTATCCTGCCTTGGTCTGTCTCATGCTGGATTACACACCCAGCTAGTATTTATTTTAATTGATTATATTGGAGGTTTGTGTTCTAACCTCAAGAAATTGTATCTTTTTAAAAAATATTTTATTATTTTTTTTTTATGTGTATGAGTGCATTGTCTACATATATGTAAGTGCACCCATGTCATGCAATGCCCACAAAGGTCAGAAGAGGGCATCAGATACCCAGGTCTTCTGCAAGAACAGCCAGTGTTCTTAACCACTGAGCTGTCTCTCCAGCTCCAAAATTGCATCTTTTAAAATTTATTATTTTGTGTCAGTGTGTGCACACACATGCATGTGCCCCTGTGCCAGGGTGTTCATGCAAAGGTCAGAGGACAATTTTGGGGGAGTTGGTTGTCTCATTGCACTATGGGTTCAGGGAGTAAAGCAGGTGGTCATTTGTGCCAGGTAAGCATTTATACCCACTGAACCATCTTGCTAGCCGCAAATTACATCTTTTTAAAGGTTTAGTCATCTTGGCTATTTTACCCTGTGAGAGTTTGTGCTGGTACCCCCATTTCTTTTTCTTTCTGTATTATAAATATCTTGTAAATAACTGAAGAATTATGGTATTAACAGAATTAAAAGACTGTCTTCACTTGTGCCCACATTTTTTTTAAATTTTAATATTTTTATTATTTTTATTTTGTGTGTATGAGTGTATTGCCTGCATGTGTGTAAGTGTACCCATGTCGTGCAGTTCCAGAGGAGGGCATTGGATCCCCTAGGCCTGGAGTTACAGATGGTTGTTAGCCACCATGTGGATGCTGGAAATCGAACCTGGGTCCTCTGTAAGAGCAGACAGTGCATTTACTTGATTACTATGAATTCTGCCCCCTCTTTTTTTTGAAATACTTTATTGATGAATGAGATAATCATTAGAATAATTTTCACTTACAATTTTGTTTTGATTCTAGGACTTTAAAAATTGGGGACTGAGGGTGTAGCTTTGGCATTCATAAGACCCAGGATTCAGTCTCCAGAAGCACATGCATGTGTGTACACAAACCCCAGAACTTTTAAAGTACTTTAAAATAATACAATATTAATAGGCGGGTTGGGAGTTTTTGTGTGTCTTGTTTTGTTTTTTTTTTGAGACAGGGTCTCATTATGTAGCTCTCTATGTAGCTCTCGGTGGCCTTAAGCTCACTATGTAGACCAGGCTGGCCTAGAAGTCACAGAGACCCTACCTCTGCCTCATGAGTGCTAGGATTAAAGGCGTGTGTCACCATGTTCTGTGAAATTAATAGCTCTTATATGGTCTTAGAGTTGAATACGGGATCTAAAATTGAAATTGAATAGTAGCAGTACAATTGAAAAAGCTTTCAGCTTAACTGTTTAGCTATATTCGCTCTAGTTTTCATGCTCCCTATTTTGGAGTAGGTCCAGTATTCTAGATCTTTTTTTTTGTCTTTTTTTTGTCTTTTTTTTGAGACAGGGTCTCCCTGAAGCCCAGCTGGCCTAGAACTCACTATGTAGACCAGGCAGGCCTTGAACTCACAGAGATCCATCTGCCTCTGCCTCCCAAGTGCTGGGACCACAGGCATGTGTCACCACGCCTGGCAGATCTTTTAAGATGTACACTGAAGCCTTAATTTTTGAATGTGTAGGTAGGGTTTCATGGAGAATGGTCTCTTTTAAAAAGATTTTTATTTTTATTTATGTGTATGAGTGTATTGCTTACATCTGTGTAAATGCACCCATGTCATGGAATGCCCACAGAAGTCAGAAGAGGGAGTTGGATTCCTCTGGATCTAGAGTTACAGATTGTAGTTAGCCATCATGTGGGTGTTGGGATTTGAACCCGGGTCCTCTGCAAGAGCAACCATCTCTTAACCACTGAGCCATCTCTCTAGCCCCTGAGAGTGATCTTTAAATAAAGATCCCTCAAGGTTTTTGACACAGCAATGAGTCTTGGTTTATGTTTATTGTTCATTTTTTGTATTTGTTCTTACTCTATCACTTGCCTTTGAATTATACTTCATTTTTTGTTTGTTTTGTTTTTAGCTTCCTGGGAGTTACTAAGTGGCTTCTCTGAAGAATCATGAAGTCATACTGTGTTGTGTTAACTCTAGCCTTCCTAATGTTCCTGATGTGTCTCCCTGTGTCCCTGAGCTGTAACAAAGCACTCTGTGCTAGTGATGTGAGCAAATGCCTCATTCAGGTAGGACTAAGGGTACTTTTATTAATATTAAAATGCGTTGTAAACAAATAGATACTGTAGAGATACAAAAAGTGAGTGTGTAATACTGTAGTGTAAGGACCTGAGGTACTGAACTTTAGATTTTTATCCCTGTAGGTCTCTTGTACAACCAAGATTATGTTCAAGAAGTTCAATACTGGGTATAGCATTGTGCTGTATAGCTTGCTAGTATGAGGTGATGAACACTCTAGTCTGCAAACTTACTATATAGTCAAACTTACTATATAGCAAAGAATCTTAATGACTATATTTTTAAAAATTTAGCTGGTCAGTTAATAGACAAATCGTACCCTACATATAATTTTTTTTTCTCTTGGTATGTAACAAATTACATCAAAACCTAGCAACTGAAGGCAATAAACATTATTTTATGAAGTTTTTCAGGGATTGAATCTGCCAGCGGTATGGCTGGATGGTTCTAGTTCAAGGTCTTTCACAAGGTTGCAGGCAAATTGTTGGCTGGAATTGCAAAATTCCTTTAAAGACACTCAAAAATTATCTTTCTTCCAATCAAAGAAAGTCTACCAACACAGCTACCATTCTCATTTTTCTGAGAAATAAAGTGAGAGTAAGTAATTTGTTCACATAGCTAGTAAGTAGCTGTGGAACTAGATCTGTATTTGACTCTAGAGCCCATGATTTTTCCACGAAACAACTGGCTATTGTAGTTCATGCAGTTGTGAGAGTGGCAAATGACATAGGTGTTCTCTCTTTTTTCATCCTATTAAAACATCAACAGTCTTTCTTTTTGAGTATCTATCTTTAGTAACTTCCCTTCTATATAGTTACCATGGGCTAAGAAATTTAATAAACGGGGCTGGAGAGATGGCTCAGCGGTTAAGAACACTGATTGTTCTTGCAGAAGACCCAGGTTTAAATCCCAGCTCCCACATGGCAGCTAACAACTGTCCGTAACTTCAGTTCCAGGGGATCTGACAGCCTCTTCTGTCTTCTGTGGGCATTGCACAACACAGGTGCACTTACCTACATGCAGGCAATACACGCATACACATAAAATAAAAATAATAAGATTTTTTTTTTTTTTAAATTTAAGCTGGGCGTGGTGGTGCATGCCTTTTATTCCAGCACTTGGGAGGCAGAGGCAGGCTGATCTTTGTGAGTTCGAGGCCAGCCTGGTCTACATAGTTCCAGGACACCTGGGGCTACAGGGAGACCCTGTCTCAAAAAAAAAACAAAAAGAAATTTAATAACCACACAAATAGGTTGCATATCCCTTATGTAAAAATGCTTGGGGTCAGAAGTGTTTCATATTTTGAAGTTTTTCAGATTTAAAAAATTTTTTGATTTCTATGTTATGTGTATGAGTGTTTTACCTGCATATATGTAAGTGTACCACCTGTGTGCAGTACCTGTGAAGATCAGAAGAAGGCGTCAAATCCCCTGGAACCCACATGGCAGCTAACAGCTGTCCATAACAATTAAGGACAGTTGTAAGCTGCCCTGTGGGTGCTAGGAACCAAACCCAGGTTCTATGCAAGAGCAGCCAGTGCTCTTAATCACTAAACCTTCTCTCCAGCCCCATAGATTTTAAAATATTTGCATCTACTTGTTGAGATATTTTAGTGATGGGACCCAAGTCTAAAGATAAAATTCATTTAGGTTTCATCTATACATATTATACATTGTCTGAGAGTGATCTTATACAATATTTTTAGCATGCCTATTTTGACTGCAACTCACCATCTGAGGTCAGGTGTGGGATTTTCCACTTGTGACATCATACTAGTGTTCAAGAAGTTTGGGAGTTCTGAGCATTTCAGATTTTACATTTAAGGATTAGAGATGCCCAAGAGGTATCTCTATGTCTATGTAAAGTATGAGTCAGCTATTGACTGTAATTCTCACTTGAGGGTAGAATTATAGTTGTTTTTATAGATCAGAGGTTGTCTGTACTTACTCCTGGTATTTGCTCTTTCTCATAAATAATTTCAATTCTAGCTGCCCTCATCTCATACTCTGTAAAACCTTTACTTCGCCTTTTAAAAGTTTGTTTAGTGATTGATTTTCTTTTTTCTTTTGTATGTTTGTGTGTGTATGTATGGCAGATATTTATGTGTATGTTTCTGGCTAGCTATGGCTACATGGAGACCCTGTCTCAAAAAAACTGAAAAGTAAAAATTAAAAATAAATAGCTGCTGCGAATCCCAGCACTTGGGAGGCAGAGGCAGGCAGATCTCTGTGAGTTTGAGGCCAGCCTGGTCTACATAGTGAGTTCCAGGACAGCTGGGGCTACAGGGAGACCCTGTCTCAAAAAGACCAAAAATAAATAAATAAATAAATAAATAAATAAATAAATAAAAATAAAAATAAAGCTTTGTGACATTTGCCTTATTTATGTTTAGCTGAAAATTCTGTTAAAACTGAAGTTATTATCTGGACTGTTTAAGTCAGTAACTTTTTTTAGTTGAAATAGTAAAAAATGGTACTTTAGGATCTGAGGTCTTAACTCAGTATAATGCTTGCTGTGCCAGCATGAGGGCCTGAGTTTGATCTCTAACATCCATGTAAAAAGCCAGGTGCAATGGCATGTGCTTGTAGTCTGAGGAGTGGAACCAGGAGGTTCCCTGGGGCTCCACAGCCAGCGACTTTAGCCTCAAGTTCCAGACCCTATCTCAGAAACAAAGAACAATAACAACAAAAACCAAAGCCTAAGGTAGATGGTTCCTGAGGAACAACCAAGGTTATCTCTGGCCTCAGAGCATAACACACACACACACACACACACACACACACACACACACACACA